AAAATTTTTACATGATCTAAATCATACTCATCTTTATAAACTAGCTCATAAAGTAACATTCCACATAACTCGGTGTTTTTTATTAATTCTTTTTCAAACGATAAAACAACTTCTTCAATGCGTGAATCGAAAAATTCATTTATTTTTTCAATCATATCAGCATTTGGTAGACTTATGAAAAAAAAGTACATGAGTCTTAATTCTTGTTGTATTAAATATTTTATATGATTCTTTATATCAAATTCAATATCAATATAATATAATTCTTTATACTCAATCAATTTTTTAATTTGAAAAAAATTTCTTTTTAACTTAATAAAATTATCATTAAATATGATTTTTTTAAAAGGTTTTTAGCGTGTAAAGAAATAAAGGTTTCTTGTAATTCTGTTATTTGGTTTGAAGGAATTAATAATATTTCAGTTTCAAGGATATTTATATCAGATATTTCATTTTCAAAGGATTCTATTTGAGAATCAAACAAATTAAGATCAGCAGAAATATTTAAATCAGTGTCATCAAAGTACTCTTCAACTTCATTTTCTGGTAATTTTTGATAGTCTAATACTGATTGATCAGTTGAAAAAACAATATCTAATTTAATACAATTCAACAAAATAAACGTGTTCATTAAGGGTTAAAAAATTAAAATTTAAAGTTGTTAATAAACTTATTAATAATATTAATAAATTATAATATTATTAATAAGTACTATGAAAATACAGTTATTGTTAAAATGTTTGAAATTTAAATCTGTTTTAAGTTATTTTAAGACTAAAATTTTTAAATAGTGAATTTAAATAATCATTCAATAAAATAAATTTATTAAAAATTATTTTTAAACCAAAAGCTAATTTATTTGAGTCAAATATAACTCATTATTTATATTATCAATTTCTTCCTTAGTTTTTGCACTATTATTCTCTAAACTTTTTAGTTCTTTTAGTATTTTTATATCTGACTCACATTTACACAATAATGAATGAACTATTAGAACTTTTTCGTCTTGTAATTCACTTTTAATCTTTTTTGATTTCAAAATAAATGATCTTTTAACATTTGAAAACTCTTTAAGTCTTAATATTATAAAATCAATTATTCTATAAAAAATAAATGTTATATTAAAATCAGTTTCTCCTATAATATCATCTATTGATTTAATTAGCGTTTGGTTAAAAAAAGTGTCAACTATAGATGTAACTGTATTCATTAACTGTATTTTATACCACTTTTTCAGATAACTTGGTAGTTTATTGTACACGGTTTAAAAAGTTCTTCTTTTATTTTTAATAAAAGATCATTTAATTCTTTTTTATATTCTACATCACTACTGTTGCTATCATTATCTACATAACTATTGTTGCTATCATTATCTACATTACTACTGTTGCTATCATTATCTACATTACTAGTGTTGCTATCATTATCTACATCACTACTGTTGCTATCATTATATTCAATCTGTTTATTATCATTAAATTTGTACAAGTTCAATAATAATCGAAGTTTGTTTAATATATTCATATAACTATTAACTTTTTTTAATTTATTTTATAAATTATATGATTTTACTAATATTAATTATTATTTAATTTAAATGATAACTTTATTCTTTTGTTTTATCATTTAATAATGATTAATTATACTTTTTTAATTTTAATTAAATTAATAAAACAATTAACTGTGTTTGTTGATAGTTTTATTAATTTAATTAAAATTTCAATTAAACTAATAAAAGTATAATTTCTTTTTATTAATACTGTACTAATAATTTAATTTGAAGTATATAACTTTTTAAATTCACTTTTACTTTAAATTTTAAATTTAATTAAATAAAACAACATAACAAGTATAATTAAATATAAGTTAAGATATTTTAGTGAATAAAGTTAAAAAAATTAAAAGCTGTTTTACAATCAAGTTAATAAGGTTTTTACTAATTTTTATTAAAAATTAGTGTTTATGTTATATTAGTTACATTTATATAGACTTTTCTTATTAAAATGATTAATTTTTAATAATATTTATTGTAAAATTAGTCATTTAGTTATAATAGAAATAAAGTTATCAAGCTTTAAAGAGATATTTAAATACAAACATGTTTAATATGATAAAATTATAAATATTAATACTAAAACCTTAATATATTGTTTTATAGAACATACATAATATTAACATCTATCTTGATAACTATAATACTGTTCTTATTATCATGATTGTAGTTTTTACTTTAATATTAGTTGCTCATTGTAAATTGTATTTTTTTATATTTATATTAACTTTTAATTTGTTGGTTAAAAGAAACAAATTATTTCTTTTTGCTGGTTAATAATATTATTTAAAAATATTTCTAATACAAAAATTTAAATAATCAAATATCTTTAATAAAAACTGTTTTATTTAAATTGCAATTACAAACAAAATATTGTTTATACTTTTTACAATGAAATTACTTAAATTTAATTAATTTATATAAAAATCAATTTTAATATATAGTTTTTTAGTTTAATATAAATTAACTTAAAAGTATTTTTTGTGTTTTTTTAATCAAATAAATATAAAAAGATTTAATTTAAATAGCAAATATTTTCATTTAAAAATTTGCTATTTAAATTAAAAACAAACAAATAGTTAATTTTTAAACCAAAAAATAACTAATAATTTTATTATATGATTTAATCATAAAAATTTCTATTTTTTAAACTGTCAAATTAAATTGATTTTATGATAAAAAAATTGTAAACAAACTTCCCTTAAATGAACAATAGAAAAA